TAATTTAATTTCGAATTAGAGATTAGATATCCTTACATGAGCCGGATGATATTTTGGAAATCATATTTTTTTTTATTCTGGTATATTATTTGTTTTCGTTTTTTTTTTTTTTTTTTTTTTTTGCAAAAATTTCGTTTGAATTTCTTCTATAATTTTCTTCCATTCAGTTAAAATTTTCTTCAAAGTCAAATATCATTCAACTTCCTGTTCAATATTTGATGAGTTATAAAACAAATAGTAATTGACCAAAACAACCAATTGGTAGTAATAAATGAGTGGACATTGTTGTATGCTCATAAGCTTAATGTCTACTTGTTGCAAAAGGTACTCCAATCTTGTGTATCGCTTTATTTGTGCTTCGAAAAGCTCACCTTTTTGCTACTGCAATCCTTGTAATGTCGTGATGAACAGATTTGACATATTTACACTTTTCTCTTTCAAAAATTTTCATTTCAAATTGATGAAAAAATTCACCAAAACAAGTTAGCCTTTTTTTTTCCTATTTGTGACCAAAAGTGACCAAATTATTCAAACAACGATTTCAAGATTGTGAAGTAATTGTTATCGAAAGTTATTGGTTGAATGTCACTTCGAAATTCTCGAAAAGGATTGTAAATTTTTTTCTAGCCGTATACTTCATCATTGCTAACGCTTGAAAAACGAATAATTAGTCGAGATAATCGTGATAAAGAGGTGATAAATTAGCTAAAGAGAAGAAATCTGTCCATTGGGATATTTCATTCCTAGCAGAGTCATCGATCATCTGAATATCGTTGATAGTCAACTATTGCGCAGACAATAATTATCATAATAAAGGGTTGACAAATCAGGTGGTAATTTCCGATAATAATGGTGATGATAATTTTCCTGAATTCTATCAAGTCCCAAAGATTTACCCTACCTTTGCAATTCTAAAATTTAAGCCTAAGCACAACAAATATAATTTTAATTTGACAAATTATAACGAATATACTTACAGTTATTAAATTAGATGCTAGCACTATAAATAATACGGAAAGATAATTCCTACAGTTATATTTCGTTTTTCTTAATAATACCAATATTTAGATTAGCAATCTAATTAACGATGAAATTAAAATAATTTAAAGATCTGATTTCATCAATCTTTTTTGTATTTGTTCATAGATGGCATATTGCTATGGAAAAGATACACTTTACTGGAATGCTGAATAATTCAATTATTCAAATGAATTATATCATTTTCATTGATCTTGTATGCACTTAACCATATGCTTATTAGTTTTTCCTTTTTTTTCTTAGATAATCGTTTTTTCTTTTTCTTTTTTTTTTTTGAGATATTTACTGATTGAAACAATAAGAGAATTCACTTTCATCAAAAGTACCACAAAGTTTGTCATGTTTTTCGAGCATTAATATATCAATGAAAAGTCACTGTTATTTTTTGGCAATTAATTGAAATGAGGGTGATGATTAATTAGTTAATTAATTAATTAATCGCAACAAAAATGTATAATGAAAATTGTTAAATTTTGGGAAATGTTATGCAAACTTACGTGTTCCAAGACGGCTTTGTTTAAGTGTGCTTATATTCGATACGATGCATGTTTGATGCTCAAAACTGAACATTCGTCCATCCAAACAGGATTTCTTCATCCATTGATTGGTACTAACATTTTTCAAATGATTATTTAATTAAATGCAAAAAAAAAAAATAGTTTGAAATTCATTTCAATTTCTGATAAAAGATATTAAAATTTTTCTCACTACCAGATATTTTATTGATTTATTCAAATTGTCCATGTAATTGTATTTACTTGTTATCTAATGCTTATACTTTTACCTTAACTAACAAAAATATGATAATTTCATGAAATGATAAGTTCTTGAGAATAATGATTACCTAATATTGATTAAATAAATATGAATGGGCAAAGCTTTTTTTGTAAGTTGGAAATATTATTTACAATATCAAAAAGAATTTTTGATAAATCGAGAAAAAAAAGATGAAATATTTGCCTTTGATCACATTGCAAATAATTTGATGACATCTGTCCCTGCACCTGTTGCAAGCATATCGATGACACTATGCATGGATCACCATCCCGTGCGCTTTTATCTTCAACTACAAAATAAAATTATTAACAAAATGATTGTTGTTAAAATTTATGACAAACTAAAAAAACTATTCACAATGTGTTACATTTCGTATTAGTTTTCATAACTATCATTTAATTAATTGCATGACAATAACCTATTTAATTATAGATGATTGCAAAAAGGAAGGATTGAAAATTTTAGAAAATTGAAAATAAATTCTAAATTCATCTTACCACAGATATTTGATTTAATGAATTGTTGCGATTGTTGCTTGCTCTCGACTGTTAATGCAACAGTTACAGGTGTCACTGTAGAACTTGTTTGTGATATTACAGATGTTGTAGTTGATAGAAGACGACTTTTTTACAACCCAAACTCCTTTATCAGTTTCTGATCTAAATAAATTTTGCTTATTTTTCTTTAATTATAAAAAGAACACTTGGGCCAATTTTTTGAATTTCATTACAAACTTTGCTGCGCTCCTTTGTTGAAATAAATTAAATAAATGCAAAGAAAAGTTTCGAAAATTACTTTTTGTTCTTTATTCTAATTACATCATTAAAATAAATTAACTAAATGCAAAAAAAAAAAGTTTTGAGGATCACTTCTTGTTTTTTTCTAATTATACCATTAATATGACGAAAATTAGTGCACCGATTAAATCCCTTAAATGATTTTATCATTTTTCAATATCAGCCTTGAAGATGCAATTATTTGATTTCATTAATACTCATATCATAAAACCCTTTGAATTTTTCATTTAGAGATGACAACTTTTAGTTTCAAATTCTAATTCCCAACTTTTGAACTTTTTGTTTCAGAAGTTGTAATTTCAGATGATTATCAATGATAAAATTACTTACTGTAAGCTTTGCTCACATTTCAGGAAGAATTGTGTTTCTTTTCCACCAATGAGTACCTCTGGACTGTTAATATCACATTTATCACCGATAATTGGAGTTAATCGTTGAGCATAGTGAATATGGAATAGGTTGATAATGATGAGGTTTAGAAGGTTTAAGTAAATCATCTCGAATTCTATCGCTAACCGTTTAAAATATTCAGCAAAAATTGAGCAGCAGCTTTGTGTATATGCAAACCACACTTTCAATCAACAGAGCACTATCGTTCCGTCCAAAATCGCTTGTCGCTTAAGTATCTATTTGTAGTACTGACCGATCACCTCAACTGACCAACTGGTAGACTTGTTTGTATGGTGCTACTAAACTCGTTAAATAGGTTTTTGTTTACCGACAACTTAGTCATCCTCCTGACCATATCTGTGTGATGGTTCCTTTTCTTCCTCTAAATTTCCTCAGAGATTGGTGTCCTCTGTTTCACCTCTTATTATCTCGATTCCTATTCTAAAACCTCTACAATTTATCTTCCTCAAGTATTATTGACATATTCTATTAATGATCTTCCCTTTTCCCTCTTACTCTTTTCTAATTAGTCATGCAGCATATGAAAGCATTATTTTTATAAATCTATCATTTCTTTGAATCACAGAATCACCATTTCAGCTCATTAATATATAT